CTCAGATAGCTGCTATGAATGCTGCTACGGCACAAGTAGTCACGTTAACCTCAGGCCCAGCAGATGACGTAGATCATACGGCCGTAGGTGCAGCGATAACAACTATAGCCACGAATCTTCCTGAAATGACGAAAGGCGTTAGAATGATAGCCGCATTGATGGACGACGAATCATCTGGAGAACGTTTACTCGATGCAGCTAGAAAATTATGTTCCGCTTTCTCTGATCTATTAAAAGCAACGGAACCAGAGACTAAAGAGGTAATATTATTCATTTTATCTAACATAATTTATTTCAAAATATTAATAATATAATTATAGTTAATAAGGAAAGATAAATATTAAACAATGCGATTTCGTTAATGACGATATTAATATTTCGATATTTGTCCATTGATAGATACAAAAAATGAACGTTTGACTTTCTCTTACTTACGGTCCTTCTATATAATTTCTATTCTTTATGGATAATATCTAAGCACATAAATTTCGCTCATTTTTAGTTTATCTTGAAATGTTCCTTTTTTTTTTTTTTTTTTTTTTTTTTTTTTTTCTTAACAAGATTATAAAAAATATATTGCCCTTGACATAATCTCTTATTGTTTTACAGCCAAGGCAGAACTTGTTGAACGCTGCATCTCGAGTTGGCGAAGCGTCGCATCAAGTATTGACCACGATAGGCGAGGAAAACGATTCTAATCGTGAATTACAGGATATGTTGTTAGCATTGGCAAAAGCTGTTGCGAATACGACCGCCGCTTTGGTATTAAAAGCTAAAAACATAGCGGCTACCTGCGAGGATTCGGCTACGCAAAACAGAGTAATATCAGCGGCAACGCAATGCGCATTAGCTACGTCCCAATTGGTAGCTTGTGCGAAAGTTGTAGCACCGACTTTGCACTCGCCCGCTTGTCAAACGCAGTTGATGAATGCTGTGAGAGAGGTAACAAAAGCCGTCGAGGGTTTGGTCGAGGTATGCAATGAAACCTGTAACGATGAGAATTTATTGAAAGAATTGAGTACGGCAGCGAGCGAAGTTAGTAGAACATTGAACGATCTTTTGAATCATATTAAAACGGCAACCAGAGGTGAACGCGCTAAGGAATCTATTCAAGAGGGCGCAGTAGAAACCATTCTCGTAGCAACGGATAAACTTTTTGCTAGTACAGGAGACGCCGGTGAAATGGTTAGACAGGCCAGAGTCGTTGGTCAAGCTACAGCGCAATTGATTCAAAGTATCAAAGGTGAAGCTGAGAAACAGTCCGATCCGGAACAACAACGGCGTCTCTTAGCGGCCGCCAAGATATTGGCCGATGCTACAGCGAAAATGGTTGAAGCCGCTAGACAATGTACGAGCAGTCCGCATGACGCAAAGATGCAGGATCAGCTTAGACAGGCAGCCGAGGAATTAAGAACGGCAACGACGGTAGCCGCAACACCGGCATTGCGTAGAAAATTGATCGTACGTTTGGAGGCCTGCGCGAAACAAGCAGCATCGACGGCAACTCAATGCATCGCTGCATCTTCCGGTGCGGTACACCACAACACTAATCACGCGAGCCAGGAAGAATTGAACGTGGAGTGTAGATTGATGGCGCAACATATACCGCATTTGGTCGCTGGGGTAAAAGGAACACAAGCCCAACCGGACAATCCTACCGCACAACTTAATCTGATCAATGCAGCGGAACAATTTTTACAACCTGGCACTGCCGTAATCAAAGCTGCCAGAGCTGTTTTACCTACGGTCACCGATCAGGCATCGGCAATGCAATTAAATAATACGTCACAACAACTTGGTTCTTCGTTGGCCGATTTAAGATCGGCCGTAACACGAGCGAGAGAAGCTTGCGGTGGATTAGAATTAGATGCCGCCGAAGAATTAATTAATAGTTTGAAGGACGAATTGAAAGAATTTTATCAAGCTGTCGAGGCTGCCTCTTTGAGGCCATTGCCCGAAGAAACTACGGAATCTACGGCTTTACGACTTGGCTCGACGTCCAAGAATGTTGGATATGCTATGGCACAATTGTTATCAGCTGCTAAACAAGGAAATGAAAATTACACTGGAAGTGCCGCACGAGAAACTGCATCGGCACTTAAAGATCTTACATATGCCGTACGCGGTGTCGCCGCTACGTCTGATCAACCAGAAACGCAAAAGAAAGTATTAATGACCGCCGACGATGTAATACTTCGATCTCTACATCTTGTCCAAGAGGCCAGACGTGCATTGAAAAATCCGGACAATCCAGAAAATGAAGCTAACTTAGCTGCCGTCGCCAAGGACGTATCGCACTCATTGAACAAATGTGTCTCTTGTTTGCCTGGTCAAAGAGACGTAGACGATGCTATTCACACGATAGACGATATGAGCCAAGTTCTTAATATGAATGAGTTCCCGCATACCGATAAGAATTATGGGTAAATATTTATCACAAATTTATATACACTTTACGTTTACTAATAATGCATGTTGTTCTTGTTCTATTTATTATCTATCTTTGAATTATAATGTGTAACTGGACACACAAGTTTCAGCTAAACTAAACGATATGACAGAATTATATTTTAATATTTATGTTATCTTTTTTTTTTTCTTTTTTTTTTTTACAGACAATTGCAAAATGACCTTAATAATGCGGCTGCCAACTTGAACGACGCCTCTTCGAACGTCGTCTCTTCGGTTCGTTCGCCTGTACAATTGGCGAGTTCTTCAAAACAATTTTCAAATGCTTTCGGAGATCTATTAGGCGTTGGTATGGAAATGGCAAGTCAGACCACCATAGAAACCAGAAGCCAAATGGTGGTCTCTTTGAAAAATGTTAGCATGACGTCCAGCAAACTTTTAACAACAGCGAAATCAGTAGCCGCCGATCCTAGCGCGCCGAATGCTAAGAATCAACTATCTGCCGCTGCACGAGCAGTAACCGATTCAATTAATTATTTAGTCGATGTTTGTACGTCCGCAGCACCAGGACAAAATGAATGTGACAATGCTATAAGAAATATTCAATCGATGGCATCACTTTTGGATAATCCTAGCGAACCCATTTCCGATGCATCTTACTTCGAGTGTTTGGAAATTGTCATGGAAAAGAGTAAAAGTCTTGGCGATGGTATGACGGGTATTGCAAATCATGCAAAGAAATCGGAACACGAACAGTTCTCAGTAGCCGTTAGAGGAGTATCATCATCTATTTGCGGATTAATCGAAGCTGCAGCACAAGCGGCATATCTGGTTGGTGTTAGCGATCCAACGTCGGTAGCTGGAAAACCTGGTCTTGTAGATCAAGCACAATTCTTAAGAGCCGCTCAAGCCATTCACACTGGTTGTCAGAGTCTTGGTAATCCAACGAGTACTCAACAGCAGGTACTTTCGGCGGCTACAATGATAGCCAAACATACAAGTGCATTGTGCAATGCTTGCCGTCAAGCATCTAGTAAAACAAGTAATCCAGTTGCCAAACGTCACTTCGTGCAATCGGCAAAGGACGTAGCAAATTCAACCGCTTCCCTAGTTAAGGAAATAAAGGCATTAGATCAGAATTATTCCGAGATAAATCGTGAAAAGTGTGCGGAAGCGACGAAGCCACTATTAGAGGCTGTCGATAATCTTTGCACGTTTGCAAGTTCCCCGGAATTCGCCAGTCAACCGGCTAAAATATCCGTAGCAGCTAGGGCTGCTCAGGAGCCTATTACGAGCGCTGGAAAAGCTATTATCGGTGGTTCCTGTGCTATGGTACAAGTTGCAAAAAGTTTGGCCATATCGCCGAAAGATCCGCCTACCTGGCAACTCTTAGCCAACAATAGCAAAAACGTAAGCGACTCGATCAAATCGTTGGTGGCATCGATACGTGACAAAGCGCCAGGACAAAAGGAATGCGAGGCTGCAATAGAAAAGCTTTCAGCTAGAATTCGTGAACTGGATACGGCCTCGCTCAGTGCCGTTTCACAGGCTCTTCTACCTCGACGGGATAACACTGTACAAGGTTTCACCGATCAAATGGAAAGTAGCGCGAGCGAATTGAGAGAGAAATTGGAACCATTGCGTAACGCTGCGAAATACGAAGCAGAAAATGTTGGACATTCCGTTAATCAAGTTGCATTGTACTGCGAACCCTTGGTATCATGCGCCGTTGGTGCAGCGTCTAATATGGTACATTCGAAACAACAAATGGTATTATTAGATCAGACCAAAACGGTAGCAGAATCAGCCTTACAATTGATATACGTTACCAAAGAATCCGGAGGAAATCCTAATGCAACCTCGCTTCACGCGGAAGTGGATGAAACCGTCGAATCAATGAAAGATGCATTACACGAGTTACAAAATACATTGGAAACAATATCAACATCTAACGGAATTGTTACAGGCTTGATAGATACTATATCACGAGCTATGGTCAGATTAGAGGATCATAGAATGTCTACGATCGATACGGTCGATTCTTATGTAGATTATCAAACAAGAATGGTCGAGGCGGCTAAAGAAATTGCACGACTTGCACAGGAAATGGTAAGTAATGTAATCAAATATAAATTGATATATCATACATATTTATTAATAAATACACGTTATCTTTATAATCGTATAATTCTTTGATCTAAAAAAATACGTTTCTTTTCTTTTTCTTTCTTTTTTTTTTTTCTTTTTTTTTTTTCTTTCTTTTTTTTTTCCCCCTTTTCAACAGTCAACGAAATCCAGTACAGACGTAGCCAGATTAGGACCCCTTGCTGTAGATATTTCTCACAAATATACACAGCTTGCCCGTGATACATCAGGTGCATCAGCTGCTGCCTCGAACGCTGACGTTTCAACTAGATTAAGAACCGGCGTTCAAGAACTTGGACAGACGTGTATCGACATAGTACGCGCAGCTGGAACCTGTCAAATGTCACTCGGTGACGTTTACACACAACGTGAGGTAGCCGAGCATAGCAAGATCGTAACTGAGAAGGTCTCCCAAGTTTTAGCCGCTCTACAAGCTGGTTCACGTGGTACACAGGCATGCATTAATGCTGCTAGTACGGTATCCGGTATTATCGGTGACCTTGATACAACGATCATGTTCGCTACCGCTGGAACATTGCATGCCGAGAACGAAGGTGATACGTTTGCCGATCATCGGGAAAACATATTGAAGACCGCCAAAGCTTTGGTCGAAGATACAAAAACATTGGTTGCTGGTGCTGCCTCATCGCAGGAACAATTAGCCGTAGCCGCACAAAATGCTGTCTCGACGATCGTACAACTCGCCGAAGTAGTGAAATACGGTGCCGCCAGTCTTGGTAGTCAAAATCCTGAGGCACAAGTTATGCTTATCAACGCAGTTAAAGATGTCGCATCAGCTTTAGGCGATCTCATACACGCTACCAAAGCGGCAAGTGGCAAACCCATCAATGATCCCAGCATGGCACATTTAAAGGATTCGGCGAAGGTAAGAGAATGTAAAAGAAGAAAAAAAGAAAAAAAAAAAAAAAAAAAGATAGAACGAACTTTGTCCTTCCTTCCATCCCATCCTATTCCATCCCATCCCATCCCATCCCATCCCATCCCATCCCATCCCATCCCATTCCACTCGTTATCACCACACACGCCCTGGACCCATTCTCAACCCCCAACCCTAACCCTGTTCATCGTTATGTTTGTGACTATAACGATTGATCTAATGGAAGAGTGAGAAGTTCGAGGACTGGTGAACTTTATGTTCTCGCTTGTCTTATTTCTGTTTTTTTTTTTTCTTTTTTTTTCCTTTTTTTTCTTTCTTTTTTTTTTTTTTTTTTACTTTTTTTTTTTAACCCGCTCTAAGCTGCAGCTTTTTTCGAGGACCGGAGACGCATCTAATCTAACGAAAATGTATTAGCAAAGATTTTAGCAAAAAAAAAAAATAAAAACAAAAGGAAGTAGCGCAGCATTGTAAACAATTATAGGATAGAAAGTGACTAAAAACAATGCGATTATCGAATACACGTTTAATCTGGCACGTGATTGACGTGTGTTGAATCTAACAACGTACGGGAGTAGTAGAGGGAGCAAGCAATCGAACGAGCCTAACCACGTTAAGTCGCAAGGCATTTGAACTAATTGCAATTGCGTTCGTCGATGTTTTTTCATTCTTTTTTTTTATTTTTCTTTTTTCTTTTTTGTTTTTTTTTTTTATTTCTTCTTCCATCTTTTCTTTTTCCTTCAATAGAATTAACGCACGATACATTCATTTTAATCAATCTATGTCTCTCTTTGACTAATCTTTTTATGTTTTTTTTCTCTCTCCCTCTCTCTTTCTCTTTCTCTCTCTCTCTCTCTCTCTCTCTCTCTTTTTCTTTTTACGAAAACGCTTTTTACGTTTTCCTCACACTTTTTGGGGTGGACTTTAATTGACATCACTTTACACGTATTTCTTTGTTCATCAACTCATATCTAACTAATTCAAATAAAAATATTTTCATCGATCTTCTTTATCATCATTCAAAAAATCTCCGTGCAACTCTCTCGATTATCGTAAGAATGAAGAGAAAAAAAAAAAAAAAAAAAGAGAGAAATGAAAAGGAGCCCTGACCAAAAGAAAAAGAAACAAAACAGAAAAGAAAGAGAATAAGCAAGAAAAAAAAGAGACAAAGGAATTAAAAAAAAAAAAAAAAAAAAAAAAGAAAAGTAGAAACAATAAGATTTCTACGTTTAAACCAAAAATTTTGATAGGAACGCCATTAAAGTCCACCTTGAAGAATCATTCACCGTCTTATCTTTTTTTTCCTATATATTTGTATATTTGATTTGTGTGACATATAAAATAGTAGCGTTTGGCTAATTGTTTCTTTCTTTCTTTCTTTCTTTATTTATTTTCTTTTTTATTTTTCTTTTTTGTTGTTATTATTATTTTTCTTTTCCTCTCTCTCTCTCTCTCTCTCTCTCTCTCTCTCTCTCTCTCTCTCTCTTTAAGAAAACTTACGCGCGTTTTATTTTTCTCTTAGCTGTCAGAAAAAATGTACAACAATCTAATCGCTTTTTCTTCTTCTTTTTCTGTTCTCTTTTTCTTTTTCTTCTTCTTCCTCCTCCTTCTCCTCCTCCTCTTTTACTTTTTTTTTGTTTTAATAAAAGGGGATGTATAAATAATCCCTAGCCGTGCATATAGTTAACCATGTATTTTTATGTCAGAATTATAAATACGGTGGACTTTAATAAAGACGTTTCATTCACGACTTTTGGTCTGGGCGTATCTGGCTAGGTCTTAGAACAACAGCTGCAGCAACAATTCGTGCCATTGAGCGACTTCGGCGGTTCGGATTCCGATTGGTTCGTGTCCGACCAAGAAGAGGAACTGATACGTCTGCTATCCGTCTCCGAGAGCAATCAACCGGCTCAACCAACCTCCGATTTAATTTTATTAATGTAGTAACGTAGTAAAATACGCGCATAAGAGCCACATTTATTAATCTCACGTAGAATGATATTATAGAGACACGAAAAACAAAAATCAAAAAAAAAAAGAAAAAACAAAAAACAAACAAAAAAAAATGAAAGAAAAAAGATGAAAAAAAAGAAAAAATACAAAATGGAAGTGGTCATACAAACCGGAAAATATGGACTCCGTTCGTAATTATTCATTTTCAAGTTAACACGTGTGCGTCATACGTTTGGATTGATTACATTTGAAAAAGAAACGAAAAGAAAAGAGACAGAGAGAGAGAGAGAGACAGAGAGAGAGAAAAAGAGAGAGGGGGGGGGGAAAGAGAGAGAGAGAGAGATAGATAATCGCCGATTTTAGGACACAGCTTGGAAATGTGATAAAATGATAATAGACAATTGAATAATCAAGAACAAAAGATAAGACTGACCGTTGTTGTTGTTTTCTCTGCATTTAAATTTTCTCGCGAACTTAATGAACACCATCGTCAAATCATATATTAAATAATTAAACTATTGTAACGGATACTATAATTAAAAATAATTAGAACGATTTATAAATTATCTCTCTCATCGTTCATCAATTCTCATTTTTGTCTAACGAAAATTTATAATATCAAGAAGAATATTAACATTATGTTATATCTTGTTTATTTATATATATATATATATATATATATATATATATATATATATAGCCATTCAAATTTCTTTTACGTACTTATACGCATAAAGAATTAGTATACTCTATAATATGATATAAACGAAAAATCGTTTTAAATACTTTACTGTACCTGTTTTCTGTAATAGAATCTTATCCATTCCGCAAGAATCCAAAAAAAAAAAAGGAAAAAAAAGAAAAAAAGATTATACTTTCCACTTTTTTTTATTCTTTTTTTTCTGTTCTTTTTTTATTTTTATTTTATTTTATTTTATTTTATTTTATTTTATTTTATTTTATTTTTTTTTTTTTTTTCTTTTTTTTTAATGACCGTTAGATAACTTCAGATGTGTCTTTACGTGACTCAACACTGGGTATGTACATCGTAATCATAAGCAGTGTGTACGCTTCAGGCAATCTCACTGTCGAATATCTTTTAATCAGATTCTTTGTGCGAGCTGTGTTGGCATACTCGATTAAAAAGCTTTTTTTAAAAAAAAAAAAAAAAATAGAAAAGAAAAGAAAAAAGGAATTAAAAAGACAAAAATAATAATTAAAAAGAACGAACGATATAAAAAAAAATAATAATAATTATATATATATATACATATGCGCAAATTAATAAAAACCCATAAATATTCTCGACTCGTACATCGAGGAAGAATTGACTAACACACAAATATCCGGCTCTCTATCATTGCCCTAACAAATCACATAATATCACATCGCATCAAATCAAATCCGTATATATATATATATAATATCATATTATATCGTATCACATCGCATCATATCATGTCGTATCATACCATATCACACGACTTATTTTATTACTGCTCGCTTTTTTTCTTTGATCCCTTTTTTATATTACCGTAGAAATTGACACCTTAAGGAAGTTTGATTAACTCGATTAGAAATTAATGTAAGCCGTAATAGAGGGGTTTTTTTATTTTTCTTTTTTTTTTTTTTTTTTTTTTTTTTTTTTTTTTTTTTTTCTTTTTTTATCATTGCCAAACTTGCATAGCAATGTTCCATTATAAATATATATATATATATAAATATATCTCTATTTCTCGTTTAAACTCACGCCACTATTTTTTACCTTGTATATCTCGATCCTTAGGTGATGGTGACGAACGTGACATCGTTGCTGAAAACCGTCAAGGCTGTTGAGGATGAACACACGCGTGGTACTCGTGCTTTGGAATCGACGATCGAAGCCATAGCACAGGAAATTCGTGCACTGAGTACATCGGAGGGTCAAAGGAGTAGCGTTACGCCTGAGGAATTGGTACGTTGTACCAAGAGTATAACAATTTCAACGGCGAAAGCAGTGGCCGCTGGTAATAGTTGTAAACAAGACGACATCATAGCCGCTGCGAATATGGGCAGGAAGTCGATAAGCGACATGCTGATGATTTGCAAGGGGGCCGCCTACAACTGTGCGGAAACGGCCGAGCTAAGGGATAGAACTTTACAGGCGGGCCATGACGTTGCTATGAACTACAGAGAGCTCCTTCAGGCAATACTTCAGATAGCCTCTAGATCGGGCGACGCTAAGCATACGCTACCTCCAATATCACGGAAGATCGCTCAAAGCGTCACGGAATTGGTGGCCGTCGCTGAGTTATTGAAAGGAAACGACTGGGTAGATCCAGACGATCCAACTGTAATCGCTGAAAACGAACTGTTAGGTGCAGCTGCCAGTATCGACGCTGCTGCGAAGAAGTTAGCGAGTCTTAGACCAAGAAGAAGTATACAGGTATAATATTATAAGAATTTTTAATTATTCCTTTATTTATTTATCGTCGTTAAATGACAATTAACTTTGTCAATGATCATAATAATAAATATAAAAAATACAAACATATGTATATATATATATATATATATATGTTATATATATATATTATATACATTATGTAATTTTATATA